GGTTTTATAACTAAATAATTAGTTGAATAATTGCAAATTTATTTGTTTGTAATATTTTAAAAAATTTTATATTTGTACTTAATGTGTTTTTATTCCAAAAATAATGTAATTTTTTGTTTAAAATTAAATAAAAATAATTGAAATATATAACTCATAATATAATATTTTTTTGATTCTCTGGGCCTCATCAGGATCTCTTACAATTTGTGATTGACTTATTCTGGAGGCAGGATTATTATGATGATACTATAAATTAGGATGAAATACCATGTTTGATCTGGTATATTCACAGTTTTTAGATACGAATCAGGCTTCATAGTGAAAAGTATTAAATAGACATAAAAAAAGGAGTTTTAAAAAAGTTTCGATTATTCATATAATAAATATATCAAATAATAGATGATTTTTCCAACAAGTTCTTCTTAAATTGGCTGAACCGTTCGCTTTTAAAAGTTATAAAAATTTTCGCGAAAAGTCAATGTAACACAATTTACATCGAAATCTATATCAATGTTCGTGATTTCTCTGCACCAGAATCTTTTTGATTAGGATTATTTGCCAGAAGATTCTGTATTTGCTCAATTATATCCTCATCATGTTTTTTTCGATACTAGGCCAAATGTGACGCGTGACTAATTATAAACAATAAAGAATACCTTATAAAATAAATTGAATTATAAAATTTATATTACAAAAAGTTAATAAAATAATAGTTGATTTTAACAATTTTTAATATAATAATATTTCAAGTTATCTCCAGCATATGACTTCAAATAGACTCAAGAATTTATAAAGAATCAATATTAATCGTTTTTAATACATTCAACTCAAAAAGTTCGAAATCACAATTTTTGTCCCAATCAAAAATCAAAATCATTTTATTTTGTTTAATTTATAAAACAACATGTTATGCTGATATAATTATAATATAAAGAGAAATTGTACAATTGGATAAACTTTAATTAGGGGCATATATCGATAAAATTAAATATCGAATTGTTTTTTAAAATAGTATAATCTTGTCTCTGCAATTATTTAATGGGGAATCTATTCATACAAAAAAAAATAAATAAATAAAAGGCGTTCGTTAGATTTCTTTATGATACAAAATAACACAGCACTTATCGGTAAAACCTTTTACATTTCTGATACTTACTGGTCATTAAATGAAGGTCATTTGTTGAAAATTAATATAAATTTAGGATTTTCGTTAAATTTTATTTCCTCCCATTATGGCTGAAATTAATGATAGATAAACAAATATAAATTTTAATTAAGTAAAGGCTACTCCAAAAAAAAAAAGGTTAATAAGAAACCATTTTTAAAATCATGTAAGCTTTAATATTTTATATTATTTATATTAAAAAAAAAAAAAAAAATATGGTTGGTTATTCTATTTCCAAACAAAAATACACGCGTGGTCCAAGAACGATTTAACTACATAATGAACTAACGGAAAATAGTTGGATTAATTGGATGCCATTACCTTTATGATCACAAAAAAAAAAAAAAAAAATTAGATAATTTTAAAGTGGAGAAAGAACAAAATCATCATCCGATAATCTGAGTTTTTTTTTTTTTTTCTTTTGCAACCATTCTTTTGGCAACCTTTTACTCTGTTGGCTTAAACCTGCATATGTGTTCTTGTATCCATAGAAAAAATTTTTCCTCCAATCAACAAATGCATCACAAATTTTTTTTTTCCCCTTTGCTCAATTGGTCGATTTACTCATTTTTACATTATCCATCAACCAAGTTTTTAAATATTTGTTTTAATAAATTAAATCCAAATATTTTGATTTTCTTTTTGTGTTTTTTTTTTGTCCAGCCTCAATTTAATAAACATCACCACGAAAGTACTTTTTAGGGAAATGAATCAGCATTTGTGAGAAGGATGCTACACATTAATAAGAAATTAATTTGTGTTTACAAGTAACGTGTAATGCGTTACTGAATAAATATTGCACAAAAGCAGGAGATGAATTAAATGAACCAATCATCCCATAATTGCAAAAAATGTTTAAATTCATCTTTGACTCCTTTTTTACGATGCCTAAAAACTTCTTTAAGGTTACATTTGATAAGCATCCATGATTATCATGTTGAGCCAAATATTTCAGGGTTAAAAATGACTAATGAAGCTAATTCGATTAAGATGCATATTATGCATTTATATATAATATAAAAAAATAATCACAAAAAGAGGAACAAAAATAAAAAAAAAAAATCATTTTATATCCATGTTTAAAATATTGTTTTTCAATATTCAACAATTCTATCCACCTATTCTTTGAAAATTTTCTACATTCTTTCTTTTTTGATTTCAAAAGTCAAACATTACTTTCATTATTAAAATATGGGAAATAAAATTTCAAATACAAAGAAGTCTTCGAGAGCGAGCTGCGATAATGACCGGATGGTCAATATAAATATGATAACGGATGAAAAGCAGGTGGATAGGTTGCAAGTGCAACACCATCTCTTACGAACGCTATGGGGGGGCAACTTCTGCTCACCTATAGCAGAAGAATTAAGAGCCGGTGGATCTTATGTTCTGGACGTGGGGTATATTTTATATATATATTATTTAATTTATATTGTAATTAAATATTTTCAAAGTTTTGTTAATTAATTTTCTTGTCCATCGTATCAGATGCGGTCCAGGAACATGGATTTGTGATATGGCCTCAGACTTCCCTAATTCAAACTTCACAGGTGTCGATATAGTCGCCACTTTCCCAACCGAGAGACCCCGAAATGTAACCTTTCAAAATGGCAACTTAATAGAAAGGTTACCTTTTGATGATAGCTCATTTGACTTCGTTCATATGAGCTCCAAGGTACTCTATTTCACGGAAGCTGAGTGGAGGACGAGAATAGTCGTCGAACTCGTAAGAGTTCTCAAGCCCGGAGGTTACTTGGAACTTGAGGATGGGGACGGGGAATGCTATAATATGTCTCCAACATATGACCGCATATCCAAAGCGGGTATTTATCGCAAAAAAAAAAGAAATAATAATCCAAATAAATGAAATGATGCTAATTTATTTAATTTTTTAGTCCTGGCCCAATTATATGCCAGGAATATGAACCCGTTCATAGTTCAGCAAATCGAGGAGATAATGGAATCCTCCGGGCTAATAAATATTCGGCATAAGGAAGTTATCGTCCCGATTGGAAACTGGGGTGGCAATCTCGGAATGTTAATGGTAGATCTAGTTGGAAGTCTTTTTGACGGGTTAAGAGATAAAATAACCAGTCAAATGAATATTCGTCCTCAAAATTTTGACCGAGTTCTAGAAACTTGCAAAAATGAATTGGACATCTACAAGACTTATGCCAAATGTTATCGGTTTTATTCAATGAAAGCATAAAATAAGCCCTATGGTTTACAAATTGTCAAAGTTTGATTTTATTTTATCTGACCGTCAATTTATATGATTAAACAATTTAAATGTAATTTATGTAATATGAATTTAATATTTTTTATAGTTTATACCAAAAATAATTTGTTTATTTTATTTCTATTTAAGACATTATAAATATACTTAAAATTAAAATATAAAAAGTATTTAAAAAAATAATTTTTAAAATTATAAAAGTTATATCTTTTATTATTAAATTATTTTAATTATCATTTATTAATATAAAAATATATATTAAATTTATATAATTTATAAAATTATTATTATTAAACAAAACCTATAATATCAAAACTAAGTTATTATGTTATATTAATAAATAAAACATGAACTTTAACATTTATTAAAAATATTATGAATAATATGCTAATAAATTAAATTAAAGGTTTTAAATGATTATACTTACAATTAATTTAATTTGTCTTATTTTACAGACTTTTGTCTAATGTTAATAAAGGTTGCTTAGGCATATTTTATTTCTTATATTATATAGTTTACTTATATTAAATATTAGTTGCCTTTTTGAAAAGAGAACATCCGTTTTTATTAAAAAAAAGAGGGAGATGAAGTATAATAAGTAAACGAATTATATAAACTCGATGATTATTATTATTATTAATTAAACTTATGATTAGAGCCGCACACAAACAAGTCATAGCAACATGCAACCATGTATAAACCATTTGAAAATATTAATTTAAACTTGAGAACCTTCCGAATGGTCTTGTAGATTAACAGGAATCGGAAGATTAATAAAATTGATTATTTTGCTTATGTAAGGTTCTCGATATTTAGAAACATTGATCTCATCTGGTAAATTTGAGATCAGTTCATTAGAAATATCAAATTCATTCTTTATAATCAGTTCTTCTTTACTCAAATTCTCATTAGATTCATGAAAAATCTTGATCCAAGAATTAATAATCATTAAAATTTCTTCGGCTTCCGGCCTTTTTGTTGGATCAGCATCTAAAAGCCTTTTAACTAATGCGATGTAGCACTCTGGAGTTTCTTTGGCGAATTTAGGCCTTAACCCTTTACAAATATCAATCGCTAAATGATGATCGAATAATCTATCTTCAAACGGAGGTTTTCCGGTTGTAAGTTCCGCCATGATTATTCCGAAACTATAAAGATCGGCCTTTTTCGTGTATGGTTGATTATGTAACAATTCCGGTGCCATATAAGGCAAGACCCCGCGAACAATACATGATCCGTTTAACCCTGTATCACTCAAAAATACATCCTTTTCTTTCAAAATATTACCAAGATGTAAATCTCTATGTAAAATTAAAATTTTATGCATTTCACTAATTGATGATGCTATGCGAGAAAGGAAATTAAGCTTATTATACCATTTAAGATTCTTATAATTTCTTTTCAAGTATTGTCGGAGGTTTCCTTCTTCCGCGTATTGCATTACAATCATGTAATCTTTTGTATTATTGTCCTGGGTGATGCCATATATTTTAATACAGTTGTTTTCATTCTCTTGAGAGGTTCTAATAAAATTTAATTTAAACTTTATATAAAAAGGAGAATTAAAAATTTTTCATTATTATCATTCGATATGTAAGACCTATTTATTTTTTTTATTTATTTTTTTATATTTACCTCTTGAAAAAAATCAGACTTCACATCTTTCGAATTATGTAAAGATTTGAGCGCGATAATTACGGACGACGTATTTTCAACTTCATTATGATTCGAAGAATTTAATTTTTCATTTATCCATTTTGCTCTATAAACTGTACTAAATCCTCCTTGTCCAATATGATGAATATCCTCAAATCGATCAAAATCAATCCACTCAAGATAATGTGATGTATTATTATTGGCATTTAATTGAGTAAATGTGACAAGGTCATCTATTGCATTATTTCCACTTTGAATAGAATTCTTTGGAGAAAAAAATTTGTAAAATTTTGTTTTATCAGCTTGTTTAAGGAGAGTGGCTAAATCTGTTGAAGTGAGTGTCAAATGTGTATCAATTTTTTCTCCCTTTGAAGATGACATTTTACCTTATTAAAAGTAATAATTTTTTTTTTTTTTTTTTAAAAAAAAAAAAGGGTTAATGAAATACAAAAATTTTATAACCGATTTCCCGTATTAAATTGTAGGAAATCCCGGTCTTTTTTTGCTGCATTTCCTGCAACTTGGTGCAGATTCATTTAAAGTTTCTTAGAAAAGGTTCATTCATTTACGATAATCTAATGATTTATAACCAATCACCCAGGAAAAAAATTTTTAAGTTTCATCATGGTGATCGAGTTGATTGGGTTGGGAAGAATACCACTTGACGGAACGGACATTGTGATCATAAATAGTGTACATAAATTTTTTAAATTTTTTTTTTATTTTGATAAATATTTAGTAAATATTATTTAAAAACCTTTATTTGTAATGGGTTGTTCCAAATAGATGATACAAATTTTTGACAAACCTAATAGATTTTATGTTGTTACTGAGCCTTGGGGCAGCACCAATCATTAATATATATTTGAACATATATATTTTTTTTAATTAAATATATAATTATGTTTTTCTGCAAAGCAAGCTAAAATAGTTTAACTTCAATTAACTCTTCGGTATATTTCCACAATTTTTCGGCCAGCTCCCCATCTTGAGCTTCCTCTGATTTCTTTCCAATCTCACCAAATGGTACGAAATATTGATCACGATAATTTTTTTCAATAATTTCAGGGCTTGTAGCAGCATACAATTGTGTTAAAGCTCCATCATCGGGTGATAAAGCAAACCAACTAGCACATTTTAAAACTTTTGCCACAAAGAATCCTGATTTGAACCCTCTTGCTATACTGGTATCAACAAACCCTAAAAAATAATTTAAAATTTTTTTTTAATTTTTTTATAATGGAATCACTTTTTTTTTTTTTGAAAATTACATATACCTGGATGAACTGAATTAACATAAACTTCTTTGCCTTCAACTCGCTTCGATAATGATTTTGTAAAAAGGACATTGGAAAGTTTTGATATACAGTAACGTTGCCAAGTTGATTGAGTTGCTTCTTGATTAATCTTATCGAATTCAATTCCTTCAGTATATCCATGAGCTGTACTATTTATTATACAAAATTCGATAATAATATATATTATTTAATATCCTGAAAGAATTTATTTGAGTTTGGGTCTTATTACTTTTGATAGCTAACCTGCTGACGATAACGATTCGAGAAGGTGCCGAAGCTTCAATTTTAGCAAGAAGAGTCATTGTGAAAAGCTAAATAAAGAAAAGATATAATTACTCTTTTTAACAAGTAAAAAAAAAAAAAAAAAAAAAAAAAAAAAAAACAAACTTACGAAATGTCCAACGTGATTTACTCCAAATTCATTCTGGATCCCATCTTCAGTTAATGACCATGAGCTAAATTATCATTAGATGAAATAAAACATACAATCACAAAATTGGTAAATCCGATTGCCAAACTCACTTCACGATTCCAGCATTATTGATACTAAAAAAAAAATTTACTGTAAATGATTGATATCGTTGAAAAAATTTTATTCCACTTTGAAAGTTTATTAACTTACAGAATATGTAAAGATAAATTTTTTGAAAGGAAATTTTCAGCTGATTTTTTTACATTCTTAAGGTTAGATAAATCTAAATGTAAATATTCTACTTGACTTTTTCCAGTTTCTTTTTTAATTTTTTCTACGGCACCTTCGCCACGTTCTTTACTGCGACTTGCAATAAATACATGTGCATTTTTACGAGTTAATTCTCTTGCTGTGGTGTATCCGATTCCTGAGTTGCCTCCTGTGACAATGGCAACTTTTCCGGTCAAATCAGGAATGTCTTCGGTAATAAAATGTTTTTTACTAAACATGATTGAAAAAGAATTTATTTCGAAAATTTATTTATTTTTTTTTTAGCAGCCTTTAAAAAAGAATTGCATTAATATAGGGGTTGTATCTTTACTAATTTGGAAATTATATCCGGTGTCGGCAATTTTACAATTTTAGCGAATTTGACATTGTTTTTACATATTCTATAATATCTCTAACTTAATTTGGAATTGTATAATAAGAATTCATATTCCTAGTAAACCTCCCAAATATGGGGTCTTTGCAATAGAAAGGGGGGAAAAAATCAATTTTGCTTTCAAATGTCAAATATGATTTTAGGCTGAAATATGCTCAAATTTAGCATTAACTAATTTTTTATTTTTCCGGCAGTTCCTCCCTTTCTATTGCAAAGGTCCCATATGTTAAATCTTTATTATGTAATATTTAAATCTAATATACATTCCTATGTAAATTTAGCTTACCTTTAAAAATAAATTATTTCTTAATTCTGTTTAGACTGAAATTTAATTTTGTGATTTTATACAGATAAGATATAAGATCATCAAAATATTTCGGATTTTTGAATATCTCTAAATATTAGATATAAAGTTATTTAAATTGGGAATATTTGAATATGAATTTCAGATTTTAAATATAGAAATAAACATTAACTTATATTTGAAATTAATTATTTATAGTATAGTAAAAAAAAAAAGTTATATATTTATATAATAATAATTATAATTAAAACACATTTTTTAATAAATAATAATATATCTAAAAAACAAGTTTTATTAATATTATTAAAATCTAAAAATAAAAAATTTGAAAAGACTTTAACTATAATTTCAAAATATAAAAAATTAATATGTAATATGATAAATTAAAAATTCTTATGAAAAATAATAATATATATTAAAAAGTTTCTATTTACAATAATTTAGTAAGTATAATTAATTATATCTAAAAATTATTATATTAATATATCTTGAATTAATTTAAGATTGATTTATAATTTATTTATAATTATTTAAATTAATGATGCTGTTCACAACCTATTTTAATGTATAGCTTAAAAATTTAAAAACTATTTTGAAATCTTTAAAATAACATTTTTTAAATCTAAAAACTTAATAAAACTTAATCGAGTTTAGAAAAACCTATTAGAAGTTTAGATAAAGATATTTTTATAAGCAAATAGTTTAATCTCAAATATTTCAAAATTTAAATTTTTTAAAATTAGTTTAAAAAAGCATCTTTAATATAAATTATATTACTTTAAAATTATATAAAAATAGTTTGCTTTCTTTCATTAAAAAAATCTTTTTTTTATAAAATATTTAATGATTATTAAATATCTTAGAAGATTTATAAAAATAAATAAAAATGTACTAAAAGTTTATGATTGTAAACAGATATATAAAATAAAATGATTTACAATTTGATCTGCAGAATTGATTTACAGAATAAAATTGATTTATTAAAAATATTAACATTATTTAATTTATTTAATATAATATAGTTTAGTTTATTTATTTTAATATAATTAATTTATTATTATATTTATTTTAGAATATGGGAAGTTTGCTAGGAAAATGGGGTTCTGAGACATTTTTTAAAAATTGAAATTTTTGATACATATTAATTTATAACTTATAAACTTTAATTGGTTAAAATTTTATATTACATTAGCT